GCATTGACATCAGTGACAAAATTCTATTAACACTCAATTTTCATCAGTGACAACTAACGGTTAATTAACATAAACTTCACATCATTGTCACTTAAAAGGTAATTAATAGAACAATGACATTATTGACACTTAATGGTCAATTAACAAATCATTTACATCAGTGAAAACAGCAAAAGGCAAACCATTGGCGTTATTGACACGTATAGTCATCAGTGACACTTAACAGCCAATTGATAGAATATTGACATCAGTGACACTTAAAAGTACATTAACAGAGCACTGACGTCAGTAACACGTAAGTCAACAATCAAGAAAAATAACTATAAAACGTTAATTGTCTAAAAAAAATCTAAAAAGTTAATATACAAATGTCTTCGTAGAAAACTTTCTATACATAAATCATACTGTATTGAATGGTTGTTTATGTACAATATTCTACATTGATATGACGTTATAGAGAAGAGGTTCCTTTATATATTTATTGTTGAAACTTTTCTTTAAATGAAATATTTTTCATAGGCAAGGCTCTTTATATACAGTATATTTACAGACACGGTTCATTATATACAGTATTGTTTAGTTGATTGGCTTGGCATAGCTAAGTTTAATTATCGAAACTATTTTTCAGTAACCTCAAACAATTAGCTGGTGTAACGAGTGCTCGCGCGATACTGTACAGGGATAAAATAATGACTGAAAGCAAACTTGTTCAGTGATGTTTTGAACACTAAGACAGAAGTGTACAATGTTGTTATTACTGCTGATGCGAAGCTGATCAGTTGTTTCCTCAGTTGTTTGCTCGAGTTAATTCGTAACACTCTTTGGTCTCGTTGTTCTTATGTACAGTTGCATCCCTTTAATTTCACGTCGTATATTACTGCAGCACAGTTGGACCAGAACACTTTCGTTGAGCAGGTAGCTTAGTTGGTTAGAGGGATAGTATAACAGCCTTAAGTCTAGGATTAGAATACCAGTCTAGCTCCCGCTGGATGAATGTTTACACGCGGAACACTGCTGTTGACTATATTTTGTTTATTACTCCTTTATATAATTGAGTCATAAAAGTCCCGCAAGGTATAGGTACTTTTTTCAGAAATGATTCATCAAGCTATGTATAGTGATGCCCGAGAACAGTGTTTACCACTGATGAAGGGATATTTATGCAAATATAGCGGCAGTTAAACAATTTTAGGACAAATCAGTTATTTTGGTGATGAACTCTTTTATCCATTCTCGATGCTCCTCTGATATCTGTTTGTTTTGGTCCATAGCGCCTTCTAAAGGAGGAGGTATCCGGATAAACGACTTTGTACTGGCAATATCAGGCATGTGGCGCTCATCGTCCGATACAACTAACACTTGCGGGCCACTTTTTCCTGAACTCGCCCGGATGGCGAGATTGACATAAAGTTTGTCATATACTTCTGCACTGTCATGGGTCATGATTATGATACATGCCATTTTCTGTATGATGGTTACCATTGATTCTTGAACCAATGCATTCGGCAGCACATCGTCTGAGTTGATTGTGTATCGCAATCCTGTAACATCTTCTAGAATTGTTCCGAGATTTCTGGGATGTTTGCATTTCCATTTCAGTGCACAAGAGTGTAGTATCAGTATTTCTTTTGTGTTCTCGTCTTCTTCAGTAGTTTGTTTGTCATTGGGTTTGTCAAACATACCGTACACTTTGAAGGCGCGTCTAAAGTGCTGATACGCAAGTTGTGCATTATCCGTTGTGTAAGCGTGAAACGCGCAATCTATATACACATCAAAGATCAAAGACGGAGGAAGACCCGAAAAAAGTGTTGTACACTCCCAAGATCTTAAAAGAAAAACACATTCTTCCAATTGTCCTTCTTTCTGATAGCATTTAAGCATATTGACACAGTCTTCTGGCTTCATTTTGTCATTTTCCTTTAGATACAGTTTCTTATATATGTCGATTGCATCTCTATGATTCCCCATGCGCATGTGCAGAACAGCCAGTTGTCTTGGCTTCCCGTCTCTTTCATCGCTGAAGAGCTCTTTGAGTGTTGGATAGGAGTTCCACGCTTCTTTGAACTGCGGATCGTTTGCTACTATTTCTGGTTGGAGCTGGATAGCATGTAGAAGATGGGCTTGACCATCTCTCTTGTATCTTTGCTGAATGTCTGGGGAGATTTCATCGCATTTACTCAATTCTATTAGACACAATCCAAGCTGTTCATAAACAATTGTCATCAGTAATTTGATTGGAAGATTTTTCTTTTTGGAGACTATTTGTTTGAAAACTTTCACAGCTTTTTCGATCTGGCCAAGCATTCTATATATGATGCCCTTGTCGTACTGAATTATAAACCAACATACAGACAGTTTTTCTGTTTTCTCTAGTAGGTTTATTGCTTCAACAAGTAGTTCGTTTTCAGGATAAACAAAAACTTCCAACGGTGACTTTGTCATTTGACGAAGTCGTATCCTTTCTGACTGTCCTTTATATGACCTACCTGTTACTCGCCTCGTTAGTGTCAGAGCAAGATGGTGATACGCATGACACGTTGGCTTGATTTGAAGTGCTTTCCGTAGGAGTGTTTCCGATAAATCTAGTTCCCCTCTGTAGCGTGCAAATTGACCACAAGTTTCTAACACCGATGGTTCCTCAGGACAAATTTCTACCGCTTTTTCAAAATATTCTTTAGGCTTTAAACGCATAACTTCATCAGGCACGTTTGTAAAGTTGTTTTTCAAAATAATGAACACTGCTTTTCCTAATCTTACATATGCATTCGCACGTAAAACGGGATCATCTGATTCCGTAGCAACAGTTAGAAACAGCTCAGCAGCATGTATTGTTGTCTCCTCGTTTTGTCTCGGATTTAATTTGTCCTCTGCCTGTGAAATAAACCAGTGAGTATGTCTGAGTAAAGTCAAACCGAGTCCAAATTGCCATGCATACTCTGTAGGATACGCCGCCACAACTCGCGTGAACAGATTTACCGCCTTTTTGTGATACCAAGGACCCGACCGCGAATACACGTACGCAAGATCCGCTTCTGCATAGCATTTCCTCCTGTCGAAATCGTCTCTTCATTTCAATATATGAATTTTTGTTATTATATCATTAACATCAGAGATTTCCCCTTCTTCTAATAGAATTTCTGGCTTTATTTGTGTTTGCTATGATATTATCAGGATCTTTTTGCAGAGATTCCTCAATATGTTGATGCGCATGTTCATAATCTCCCAAGTGGAAATACAAATACGACAGAAAGTTACTTATCTGTATATCTTCAGCTTCAAGCTTTCTTGTGCTGTCCCGGTCATCCTCTAATTTTCTTATGATGTTTTTTACACAATCCTTGTTCAGATTCGTCAAATACAAATCAAAGGTTGATGGAAATGTCTCCAGTTCCTGTTTAAGCGATTCTTCGCTCAACACTGCACCCATGTTGTCGTCATCGACCTTCCTGCAGGTCCTACAAAACAAATGCTTTATATTGTTAACGTATAAAATATATACATCAAATTAACAAAATAACAGACAGCAGAACGATACGTACACATCAAACAATCACTGTAATGGGATGGTCCTCGCTAAAAATACGAACATTACAAGCCAAATTTACTTTCTTCTTCATAATCATACAGCGTTATGTAGCAATATATCCCCCGCCATCCTCATATCAACAAACCCAAGATCATGACATCTGCTTCCAAGGATACATGTAAATATTTATTTCCATAATAACACTATCACACCTCCTACCACTTAATTCACTCTCAGTTTATCCTCTTAATTTAGGTACTAAAAATATCACTGTATATATCTTTCTGGTTGGGGTATCTGGGTGGTCGGGCGGCGCAGTCGATAACGCACTCGCCTTTTACCAAGGCGGCCGGGGTTCGATTCCCCGATCGGAGGTAAATAGGTATGAAGTCGCCTGCCCGACCACTTGGGTTTTTCCGGGTACTCCGGTTTCCTTTTAAATTAACACCTCTCGCGCTTACATCCGGGCCAACAAGATTGATTAATAAAAATTATATATAACTTGTTTCATTAATTTTATGAAATAAATAATTTTTATATTTATATATGTTGATATGCGAACCACCAACATAACTCAGTATATTATGTCGTCTAAACATATTTCCGGCTTGAGGATTTTGTATTTGTTGAGCATAAAATAATGCATTTTATAATTCGAAACCTCAATTCATTTTAAGATGCTAACTCATTTTGTGGGTAACTCACTGTAGGTGTTAAAATGTTAATTATATGATTGTGTTTCGTCAGAAGGTGAGATATTAAGATTTCGACACTTCTAAATCGTTCGTCCTAGAAAGACGTTTAAAGATTAATTTGATCAAAGGTGGTAGCTATTATCATCAATTGCATCATTAAAGTCGTTTAAAGTAATTAATTATTATCGCGGGATGATATTTTCGATAATTCGCTTGGAATATGCCCGCGAAAATTCGATCCGTGTAATTTTAAAATATAATACGCATAAATGTCTGCAATATAAACTGCATATCAGCCTCCTATGTCTGTTATCTAAAACGACTCTGTCACGTGGCAAGTGTGATGGTTTGAAATAGATTGCATTTTTCAGGA